ATCTGGTACACACACAAATAAACGATATAGCATCCAGTACACAAATAAACGATATAGCATCCGGTACACACACAAATAAACGATATAGCATCCAGTACACACACAAATAAACGATATAGCATCCAGTACGCACACAAATAAACGATATAGCATCCGGTACACACAAATAAACGATAAAGCATCCGGTACACACACAAATAAACGATATAGCATCTGGTACACACACAAATAAACGATATAGCATCCAGTACACACACAAATAAACGATATAGCATCCAGTGCAGACAAATAAACGATGTAGCATCCAGGACACACAAATAAACGATATAGCATCCAGTACACACACAAATAAACGATATAGCATCCGGATAAACGATATAGCATCCAGTACACACAAATAAACATATATAGCATCCGGTACACACACAAATAAACGATATAGCATCCGGTACACACACAAATAAACGATATAGCATCCAGTACACACACAAATAAACGCTATAGCATCCGCTACACACACAAATAAACGATATAGCATCCAGTACACATACAAATAAACGATATAGCATCCAGTACACACACAAATAAACGATATGGCATCCGGTACACACACAAATAAACGATATAGCATCCGGTACACTCACAAATACACGATATAGCATCCGGTACACACACAAATAAAGGATATAAAGCATCCAGTACACACACAAATACACGATATAGCATCTGGTACGCACACAAATAAACGATATAGCATCTGGTACACACACAAATAAACGATATGGCATCCGGTACACACACAAATAAACGATATAGCATCCAGTACACACACAAATACACGACATAGCATCTGGTACACACACAAATAAACGATATAGCATCTGGTACACACACAAATAAACGATATAGCATCCGGTACACACACAAATAAACGATATAGCATCCGGTACACACAAATAAACGATAAAGCATCCAGTACAGACACAAATAAACGATATAGCATCCAGTGCACACACAAATGAACGATATAGCACCCATGAAACACAAATAAACAATATAGCATCCAGTACACACACAAATAAACGATATAGCATCCGGTACACACACAAATACACGATATAGCATCCGGTACACACACAAATAAACGATATAGCATCCAGTACACACACAAATAAACGATATAGCATTCGGTACACATACAAATAAACGATATAGCATCCGGTACACACACAAATAAACGATATAGCATCCGGTACACACACAAATAAACGATATAGCATCCGGTACACACACAAATAAACGATATAGCATCCGGTACACTAACAAATAAACGATATAGCATCCAGTACACACACAAATAAACGATATAGCATCCAGTACACACACAAATAAACGATATAGGATCCAGTGCACACAAAAAACCAATATAGCATCCAGTACGCACACAAATAAACGACATAGCATCTGGTACACACACAAATCAGCGATAAAGCATTTGGTACACACATAAATAAACGACATAGCATCTGGTACACACACAAATAAACGATATAGCATCCAGTACACAACAAAAATAAAGACAAATAAACGATGTAGCATCCAGGACACACAAATAAACGATATAGCATCCAGTGCACACACAAATACACGATATAGCACCCAGGACACACAAATAAACAATATAGCATCCGGTACACACACAAATAAACGATATAGCATCCGGTACACACACATAAACGATATAGCATCCAGTACACACGCTAATAAACGATATAGCATTCGGTACACACACTAATAAACGACATAGCATCCGGTACACAGACATATATACGATATAACATCCAGTACACACACAAATAAACGATATAGTACTCAGTGCACACAAATAACCGATATAGCACCCAGGACACACAAATAAACGATATAGCATTCGGTACGCACACAAATAAACAATATCGCATCCGGTACACACACAAATAAACGATATAGCATCCGGTACACACACAAATAAACGATATAGCATCCGGTACACACACAAATAAACGATTCAGCATCCAGTACACACACAAATAAACGATATAGCATCCAGGACACACCGATAAACGATATACCATCAAGTACATACCCAAATAAACGATGTACCATCCAGGACACACACAAATAAACGATATACAAACCAGGACAAACAAATAAACGATATGGCCTCCAGTACACACACAAATAAACGATATAGCATCCAGGACACACAAATAAACGACATATAGCTTCCAGTGCACACACAAATAAACGATAGATAGCATCCAGTACACACACAAATAAACGATAGATAGCATCCAGTACACACACAAATAAACGATGTATAGTATCCAGTGCACACACAAATAAAGGATATATAGCATCCAGTACACGCACAAATGAACGATAGAGCACCCAGTGCACACACACAAAAACGATAGAGCACCCAGTATTCGCAAAAATCATGCGACAGCAAAAGGTTCACGCACAAAGTGTACGATTTAGCATCTAGTAAACACACGAAGTGTACGATTAGTAATTTAATACACCAACAAAGTGTACAATTTAGCATCTAGCGCACACACAAAGCGTACGATTTAGCATCTGGTACACACACGAAAATATACGATATAGCTTCAAGTATGTACAGGAACTTTCGATAGCATCTAGTACACACAAACAAAGTGTACGATTTAGCATCTAGTGCACACACAAAGTGTACGATTTAGCATCTAGTGCACACACAAAGTGTACGATTTAGCATCTAGTACACACACAAAGTGTACGATTTAGCATCTAGTGCACACACAAAGTGTACGATTTAGCATCTAGAACACACACAAAGTGTACGATTTAGCATCTAGTACACACACAAAGTGGACGATTTAGCATCTAGTGCACACGACCATTTAGGTCACATAACGACCTTATAGAAATCACTGGAATAAATCCCACTGCCGGAAGCAACAATAACAACAGCTTCCTCTCTGAGCAGGTCAAATTACACAGCCCAAGTTCAAGGTGTGAGTTCAAATCCACACTCAGCGCTTTAAACTTTTGTGACCCACAATAACTAAAAGTTAATTAATGTGACATTTTAATTAACAAAAACACATCCTCATAACACAGCAGGCACCAACACAAACGTAAAGTAAAACTACTTGGTTAACAACCTGCCATAGAATTACTATCTTATTTATTTACAAGCAAAGAGAGATACAACAGCCAAATTGGACACGACAAATATGACCTGTGTGTCAATGTTAGATAAAATATACTCATTGTCAACGTCGGGTTTAGTGGACTCATAGCTTTGATTGTCAACATCTGCTTTATATACACCTGACTGTACATGTCTTTGATATCAACGTCAGATATAACATACACATGACCTTAATATCAACGTCAGATATAAAATACACATGGCTTTGATATCAACGTCAGATATAACATACTAATGACATTGATATCAAGGCCAGATATAATATACTCATGACATGGATATCAACGTCAGATATAATGTACTCATGGCTTTGATATCAACGTCAGATATAACATACTAATGACATTGATATCAAGGCCAGAAATAACATACTCATGACATGGATATCAACGTCAGATATAACATACTAATGACATGGATATCAAGGACAGATATAATATACTCATGACTTTGACATCAATGTCAGATATAACATACTCATGACTTTGATATCAACGTCAGATATAATATACTCATGACATTGATATCAACGTCAGATATAACATACTCATGACTTTGATATCAACGTCAGATATAACATACTCATGACTTTGATATCAACGTCAGATATAACATACCCACGACTTTGATATCAACGTTAGATATGATATACTCATGACATGGATATCAACGTCAGATATAATGTACTCATGACTTTGATATCAACGTCAGATATAACATACCCATGACTTTGATATCAACGTCAGATATGATATACTCATGACATGGATATCAACGTCAGGTATAACATACTCATGACTTGGATATCAACGTCAGATATAACATACTCATGACTTTGATATCAACGTCAGATATAACATACTCATGACTTTGATATCAACGACTTTGATATCAACGTCAGATATGATATCAACGTCAGATATGATATACTCATGACATGGATATCAACGTCAGATATAACATACTCATGACTTTGATATCAACGTCAGATATAACATACTCATGACTTTGATATCAACGTCAGATATAATATACTCATGACTTTGATATCAACGTCAGATATAATGTACTCATGACTTTGATATCAACGTCAGATATAACATACCCATGACTTTGATATCAACGTCAGTCATACCATGACTTTGATATCAACGTCAGATATAAATATACTCATGACTTTGATATCAACGTCAGATAACATATGACTTTGATATACTCAGATATGATTTACTCATGACATGGATATCAACGTCAGATATAACATACTCATGACTTTGATATCAACGTCAGATATGATATACTCATGACTTTGATATCAACGTCAGATATAACATACTCATGACTTTGATATCAACGTCAGATATAATATACTCATGACTTTGATATCAACGTCAGATATAATATACTCATGACTTTGATATCAACGTCAGATATAACATACTTTTGACTTTGATATCAACGTCAGATATAACATACTTTTGACTTTGATATCAACGTCAGATATAATATACTCATGACATGGATATCAACGTCAGATATAATGTACTCATGGCTTTGAAATCAACGTCAGATATAACATACCCATGACTTTGATATCAACGTCAGATATAACATACTCATGGCTTTAATATACTCATGACTTTGATATAAACGTCAGATATAATATACTCATGATATAACATACTCATGACCTGGATATCAACGTCAGATATGATATATACTCACGACTTTGATATCAACGTCAGATATAATACTACTTTGATATCAACGTCAGATATCATGACTTTGATATCAACGTCAGATATGATATACTCATGACTTTGATATCAACGTCAGATATAATTTACTCATGATATTGACATCACGTCAGATATGATATACTCATGACTTTGATATAAACGTCAGATATAATATACACAGGACGTTGATATCAACGTCAGATATAATCTACATATGCTTTGATATCAACGTCAGATATAACATACTTTTGACATTGATATCAAGGCCAGATATAATGTACTGAAGTCTTTGATCTCAACGTCAGCTTTAATGTACTCATTTCATAGATGGCAATGTAACAATAGTGTGCACATACAACGGAGAATAAACATCATAGTATACACACACGAGTTCCAGTCAGTATAAGGCGTGACTAGTACAGTATCAGTGATAGCGACCTCCTATACTTGTCTATATGCTAATGATGATTTCATCAACTGCGTGAACTTTTTCCATCAGCCATTTTGTTGTTGGTTGCAGAGAACGTCTTTGAGTGAAGGACTTGAAGTGAGCCCCGTCCACATAGATCTGAGATAACAAGACAGTGAGTGGGTCAGTTGATTTGAGTGTCTGTTCGTTTGCTTGTTGTTTAAAGTCGAACTCCGCAATAGTCCAGCAATATGGCGTCGGTTTGTAAATAATCGAGTCTGGGTCAGACAATCCTGTGATCAACATCATGAGCATCGACCTACACAATTGCGATACGATAAAATGTGTCGTTCAAGTCAGAGAGCCTGACCGCCTAAGTCGTATCTTTCGATTATTAACTGACCACCGCCATATAGCTGGAATGTTACTGAATTCGGCCTTCAACAACAAACAAAGGAAGAGACTTCTGAAATTCGAAGTTCCGACACAAAACGTGTATCCTTCAAACACTACGTTTCACCATATACGTTTATCTGAACATTAGCTATGACATGAAGACACGCTTTAAACGTGAAACTTTTATACCAAATTGAGAAAGTTATCATCAACAAAACTGAACTTTATAAAATGTGGGCGTTGGGGTGTTTTAATGTATGTTGTCATAGTTTGATATTATATAGTGTAAGAAGCCCGAATTTGCCGAAAACGGTAAACTTCTGTTATAACGAAATCAAAGAGACCACTAATTTTAGTTCGATAGTACCGTAGTTCGTTATACGCATTTCGACTAAAATACTGCAAGAGGCGGGGACCGAAAACTAAATCTTTCAGTTCTGTATAGGCGAGTTTGCTGTAAACGTAGTTACTACACTCCTAAGGGCGGCTTAAAGCCATACCAGTTGGGATTCGGATAAACATTTCACCTTCGATAAAATGGTACAGCCTTCTGTTGTTTTTCACAAATCAACACCCTGCATTGGTTTGACTACCTTAAAAAACAACATTTCCCCCCTTCCTTGAACCAGTTAACTTTAACTAAATTCTCAGTCACAGATCACTCACTCACTCACTCACTTCACCGCCTTCATATATAATTGTCCGCTTACCTCAAACGTGTTCGCTGTTATTTGGATTGTAAGATTAAACTGTTGATTGGCCACAAACGGAAATACATCATTTATATATTCTTCACTTTCCCAATATGTGCCGTAAGTGTTGAAAACTGTGCACTGGCAAGAAAATCTTGGCCCAATTACCAAAGACTTGACAGCCCCGTCATAGCACAAGTAGAAAACGGCGCTGAAACAACGAAACATGTTTTATGTTATGTATGGTGGCTGATTAGGGCCATCGCTTTCTCGCCTTAAAATTCGGAGGCGAGAAATGACCCTAATCAGCCACCATAGTTATGCCCTATCCTTTGTCCAGTGTTATACTCAAGCTCTATGCTACGTTCTATGTTTTTCACATTGGTATTGACCCGTGAAGATCCGGGATAGAATAGGGCTTCAGCAACCCATGCTTGCCACAAAAGGCGACTATGCTTGTCGTAAGAGGCGACTAACGGGATCGGGTGGTAAGGCTCGCTGACTTGGTTGACACATGTCATCGGTTCCCAGTTGCGCAGATCGATGTTCATGCTGTTGATCACTGGATTTTCTGGTCCACACTCGATTATTTACAGACCGCCGCCATATAGCTGGAATATTGCTGAGTGCGGCGTAAAACTAAACTCACTCACTCACATTGGTATTCAGTATAATTTCAATAAATGAGTGAATTTGTGGTAACGTTTCTTTGATTTGCTTTTTGTTTAACGTCACACTATATACAATATTCAAGCTATATGATGTCGGTCTGTAAATACTCGATTCTGGACCAGAGAAATCAGTGATTGATATCATGAGCATCGATCTACGCGGCTGGAGCACGATGACATGCTGAACCCAGTGAGCGAGCCTGACCAACCGATACCGTCTCTACTAACAATGGTCGCTGAAGACCAGTTCTAACTGAGAACGCGACTTTCAGCGGTATTCATCGCGTTAATTTAACGCAAGATGGGTGGTGGGGTAGCCAAGTGGTTTTGTCGTCCGAAAACCCCGGATTCGACTCTCAACATGGGTAAAATGTGGGAAGCCCATTTGTTTGTCCCCCGCTGTGATATTGCTGAAATATTGCTAGGAGCGGCGTAAAACTGTTTACCATGTAGGTGAAACCAACAAGGACGGATGTGTTCCTGATAAACCTAGGAACATGGCGGAGAACAGGGATTCAAAACCACGATCATGGGTGTCTTGCCTGCCAAAGGGGAACTGCGGCTCCTCAGGCAACTGGCATGTGTTTAGTACCCCAAAATACGGGCATCAATGTGCCGGGGATAAAAACGTGACAACAAAAGTTCCATTTATGTACTTGCATCAAAGACATAACAAGAAAAACGATTGAACTTATTTCACATCCACGGGAAATCTAATGTGTTTGCTGTCAGCAATTTTTGAATCGTATAAATATGACTTCTTTGATGTCATCATTCTTCATGTAAAGATAATCGAGTCTGGGCCAGACAGTCCAGTGATTTACATCATTAGGATCCATCTAAGCATCTGGGATACGATGTGTCAGCCATATCAGTGACGCTGACCATCGTATTACGTTATTCGTCTCTTACAAGTGTAACAAGTGTCACGGAATGGTGTTGGTGTGAAATAGTGATGATACCAAGTGTTAAAGAAAAAGGTGAGCGCATCCTGCTCTACAGTGGCATACACGTCCCCTGTCGATCGTCTACAGGAGACCCGTGAAGATCCGAGTTAGACTTGGTTTTCAGAAACCCATGATTGCCGTAAGAGGCGACGAACGGGATCATGTGGTCAGGCTCTCTGACTTGGTTGACGCATGACATCGCCTTCGTATCCCAATTGCGATGAATGCTGTTGATCATTGGATTGTCTGGTCCAGACTCGATTATTTACAGATCCCCATCATATAGCTGGAATATTGCTGAGTGCGGCTTTAACCAACCAACCAACCAACCAACAACCAACCAAAAATCTACAGGATATAAACTTGTATTATAACACGTATAGGTAAATTGATACAGAGAAAGGAGAATTATTCAGGGAAATACCTGGCAATACCGTCAAGTTGTCCGAGAACCGTCAGCGTCATTCCTGTGTGCAGCTCGGAACTGAAGAAGACAGTGTGCGTTTTCGCTACCTGGAAGAGAATATTTGTCCGATAAAGTGGACCCTGTAAACACCACTCGGTTAAATCGGTGGGTATGGTTCTGTACATAATTTAGCAATGCTCAAGTGACATAGTGAGTAAGCGAGTGAATTTAGTTTTACGTCGCTAATATTCCATCAATATCACGGCGGGGGACACCAGAAATGGGCTACACACATAGTACCCATGTGGGAATCGAACCCGGGTTTTCAGCGTGACGAACGAACGTTTAAACCACTGGGCTACCCCACCGCCCGGGAGTAATGTAACAATGATACATTTTAGATTCATACACAGACGAGTGTACACTGAACCACGAGACTAAAACATGACCCCAAGGCATGATGTATATACATGTTTTTTCTTTGTTTTATTCGTTATTTCTGGTTATCGTTTAGTTCCTCACTTAGAACTAGGGCTGCGTAATATAACCGATTTACCGGTATTTACCGGTTCAAACATGAAAACGATACGTATTGCGATACGCTGATCGAAAACCGGTATTTTGAAATGCATTCGGAAAACTTTGTAACACTCGGAAATCTTCGGATATTTCCGTTTTTAAATTGTTCCTTTCCTTGTTTCATTTGTGCCAAACATTATTCACATTTATATTTTGCCATGATTAAAAGTTTTCCTAAAGCCTAATCAAGCATTGTGATTTTGTTGTGTTTTTGCTTTACAAATCAAGCATTAACTCTATTATAAGTAGTTTTTTTGTTAAAAATATATCTTGCAATATATTGCAATACATATCGCAATACATGCTTTCGCATCACAATATATCGCAATACGAAAATTCCCTGCAATACCCACCCCTGCTTAGAACTATTTCAACGGTTAAATTTCAACTTTATATGAGTTACAGAAATGCCAAATGACCTCACGATAACCTATTTACGTAGTCGCCTCTTGTTTCTAACATGGGTTGCCGATTACCCGGATCGTCTTGTGGAACTGCCTTCTTTAAACTTCCATAGCTCACTAACCCAGTAGTCTCAATAGGAACGCATGTTTGTCAAATATTTGAGATAACAAGCTCTGAAAACTGCATAATGACGTTTTTGATTCCTATTCCTGGAACATTTTGGAAGACACATTCGTACAGTCACGAATCACTGGAGTGAGTGAGTGAATGAGTATGATTTAACGCCGCTTTTAGCAATATTCCAGCAATAGCACGGCGGGGAACACCAGAAATGGGTTTCACACATTGTACCCATGTGGGGAATCGAACCGGGGTCTTCAGCGTGACGAGCGAACGCTTTAACCATTAGGCTACCCCACCGTCCCTCACAAATCACTGGAAGTGACCACACTGAATCAGAGTCTGCCCTGACGGATTAAACATACACATTCTTTTGGTTGTTGTTTAACGCCGAACCCAGCAATATTCCAGCTATATGGCATAAGTCTATATAGTGGCAGTCGGTATATATTCATCTTCGATGTAACTATATAGTGGCAGTCGGTATATAATCAGGTCAGACAAACCAGTGATCAACATCATCAGCATAAATACATAAGCGAATTAGAAGACCTACTGCGTTATGTTCGAATGAATGGACACAATTTCGAACTCCCAGATGTTTCCATCGTCCATTGTCCAAACACTCCTGTTGGACGCCAGGGTACATAAACGATGTTCCATCCCGGCACAAGGGCGCCATCACCATGGATACGTTCAGAGAACAGTCAACTGTACCAAAACACATTTTGCAATTAAAAACTGATGTAAGAAAACAGACACGTTCCGTAGCTGGATTATATATATCACGCATTTGGTGCGAATTAGGTCAGGATTCCACACAAGATCAGGCCTAAGGCACATAACTTCGTAAACCGAATACCTGTCGATATTGCAAGAAACCATTGAATTAATGCACGAAGAACAAGAGGATAATATATCAAGAACAAAATACATTATGAAGTAGAGGCGAGGTGAGGTGAAATTGGGTTTTACGTCGTGCTTGAGAATATTTCGCTCTTGTGACGACGTGCATGCGTGTGTATGTGTAGGTGCGGCTGCTTGTACTAGCCCAGACTTAAGCTGGTTTTATAGTGCTAGCCCACTGAGATACCATGCCGCAGTGAAGCATGAATACCCCACTCAGACACATTATACTGACTCCGAGCCGACCAGTCCTTGTTGTACCCATTAATGCCGAGCGCCAGGCAGGGACCAACAAGTACCATATTTTAACGTCTTTTGGTATGACGCGGTCGGGGATCGAACCCGCGACCTTCCGCTCTCCGGGCGGACGCTCTAACCACTACACCACGGAGGCGGTCCTATGAAGCAGATAATGCATATGGAAAGAGATCGGCCAGGACGTGAAGATAGCACATCGGATATACTACATCTTGATAATATGTCAAAAAGAGAAAATGATAAGACATCAATGATACAATTGTCCAGCAAGAGGAAAATATAAGTACTTAACATTAAGAGTCAAGTAGATGTGTAACGATTCTAAGATACATCCGAAAAAGGACAAGATACGTCAAAATAAGACTTCAAGAATTTGATAATAAATCAAGAGAGTACTCATACACCAGGGAAAGAGGACACAGAGCAAACAGAATACATAGATACAGATACAGATACAGATACAGATACAGATACAGATACAGATACAGAAGATCACATATGTAGACGGCGATAACACAGAAAGGGGAAGATAATATATCAGAGAGAAAATAAGAAATAATCAATAATATACTCATGCCAATAATGGTTGTCACCCCCTTCAATTTCTTTTATTGGAGAGGGGGTGTGGGGTTTGGGTGGGGGGGGATGACAACCATTATTGGCATGAGTATATATCAGAAAGAAATGTCTTTGAACGACATTTAGAAGTGATATACATATGGTTTCAGAACTTATGACAACTTCTTTTTGTAAGTATCATAACATTTCGGAATATATTCTTACTCCTTCATCAGGTGATAAGATAAGATAGATAAGATTACAGATTGTAAGATAACACCTCGTGAAATGTAATATCAAGAGAATATAATATAACAAGGCATAAAAATGAATGCGCAACATGCTGGTAATACAATAGGAAAACATTCATCAGGAAGATAAAGTTTCAAGGAAGGATTCCTGGCTCCTGTCAGTTCGTTGATAGTGAAAACTAGAAATAATAAGGTCTTCTTTGTGAAGGGTTTTGTTAGAGATCTTTCACATAAAACATGAAAAAAAGTAAGTCTGACCTTTAAACTTCACCACACATAATTATGAATGAATGAATGAATGAGTTAAGAATTAACGTCACATCGGCAATATTTCAGCAATATCGTGACGAGAACATATTTGATACTGAAATGAAACATGTGTATATTATATAAACCTGTCGTCAAAGGACAGTAAAACAACTAGAATATCACAATAAGAGTTCAATAACTAGCGTGGAAAGTTAAAACTGATAGTACTATTTGGACAATACAATATATAAACAGGCTATAGATCGCCAACACCTGAAAGTAGATCACCATACCAGGGACCATGGGGACTTACAGTACCTTTGCTACCTGCATGGACACATAATTATGAACTAAAGCCTTTGTAATATGATATTTATTCCCGCTTGGAGATTGTTTTGATAGGAAATAATATCCAGCGGAGTGTTTCAAAGGGCAAATAATATCCAGCGGAGTGTTTTAAAGGGCAATAATATCCAGCGGAGTGTTTCAAAGGGCAATATTTACATATAGGAATTATATCTCCCATGAAGACGTTCTCCTCCGGAAGATGTTTGCTTCAGACACATTATTCGTTTATACCTTCCTCATACATTTACATGATAGTTTTCAAATTCTAAATCAGAAAATCTTTCCTTCTGTTTTATAAGTTTAGACATACCAATATAGGTCATCCATCCTGCCTCTTCTACGGCACTGACCACTGACCATGAAGGGATGGAGTAAAGCCTGCACTGGTTTGTTGAAGGTCGGACAGAAGCCTGTCGGCAGTCAGGGTCCAATCCGCATGCATTTATACAGTCAAGGCGATCCAAAGAAACGTTGGACAGCTCATTTCCATGGAATATATAGTTGTCTAATCCCTCATAGTAGAACAGGGTGAGGTTTTTGTCACATCCACAGAACACTTCCCAAACTCCAAGAAGAAGGAGAAAGCTTTTCATCAGCCAAAACAGCAGCATTGTCATACCACCCGGTTCCCAACTAACCAGCTTCTGCTACACTCTTGGCTTTTAGATATTATTGATCTTCTGAATATCCTCTTGCTGAAGTGGAGTCAACAACAAGCATGGTTACTACGGCCGTCAGTATCAATATTAGGGACGAGAATTGTATGGATGTCAACTTCTTTATAATGAGGAAAACTATGCAACAGCATCAACATGCATGAAGAAAGAGCAATTGAAGTGATCAAGCCCTTTCCAATTTCATAAGACGCCACGAAAAGTGCCCATTTTGCGATTCCAACTTTCTCACAGCATGCGTTTAGGAATCGATATTGAGTTGATACGATGCCACTTGTTTGCAGAATAGAGACCATTTGCTGTCATAAACACAAGCACAGGCCAGTCAATTGTTCACCAACAAGAACACGGGAACATATTGTGCAGGGGTTCCTTTCACGCAGCAACCTTTACTAAGGTTAACCTATATCCCATTCTTTAACATTGCGCTAACGTTACCTTAGTGACTTACCATCACCTTAGTGCTTTGTGAAAGGAGTCCCAGGTCAATATTTGAATTGCATCGGACATCTTTTTGTCACTAATTCGTCAGACTTTCTACTAAACTAACTACTAGAACATGGGGACATATCCGCATTTCAACCATGATTCGTTTTGAAAGTTAACGATAAGTACAGGTGTAAAAAGGTGAATGAACTTGTCCGGTAAAATGTATTATTGTATATAATTGTATAATTTGGCAGGGCAGGGCAGGGCAGGGCGTTGTGATGTATGATTACTGACTAAAAACAGCAAACAAGTCATGAGTAATGACCTTGATGATCTTAAACAAGATGTCAGTGTGTAAAGTTCGATAAACCTTATAACCAACAGATAGTGACCATTAACCAAGTACATGACTGTATAAAAGATGACTGTTTACCGGCAATCATGTATGGAAAAAGTGAACATATTCTAGTTATTTATACCTGTTTACCTTAGGTCGGTTACTTGAACTGTAATACGAAAATATTGATCTGCCACAAATGGAAACGTATAAACACATCCTTTCCAGTCTCAAGTGTCCTGACTGAGATGACAACTGTTGACGACTACACAATGAAGCATGTCGTGGTTGAATGCAGCGAGTCTATGAGCCCGTCCCACAAGGGATGCAACAGACTGAACAAAATGTAAACGATTGTTTTTCAAGACTATGTCAAGTCCTATGTTTTGCTTCATTGAATGTCATGCTTTACAGTATGTTCTGCAATGCTCGCTTGTATCTTAGTATGTGAAGGGCCAAGCGTTCGCTCGTCACGCCGAAGACCCGGGTTCGATTCCACACATGGGTACAATGTGTGAAGCCCATTTCCGCCCTGATATTCCTGGAATATTGCTAAAAGCGGCGTAAACCTAAACTCACTCACTCACTTTGTGTGTGAAGCCCATTTCTGGTGACATGTCATGCCCTACGTTTTGGCTCATTGAATGTTATGCTAAAAGCATATATTCAGTCACTATGTTGTATTTCTGTGAGTGAGTGAGTGAGTTAAGTTTTACGCTGTACTCAGCAATATTCCAGCCATATATCTGTAAATAATCGAGTCTGGACCAGACAATCCAGTGATCAACAGCATGAGCATCGATCTGCGCAATTGGGAACCGATGACATGTGTCAACCAAGTCAGCGAGCCTGACCACAAGCATGGGTTGCTGAAGGTACATTCTAACCCGGACCTTCACGGGTTGTATTTCTGTGTGCATAGATGTCGCTATAGACGTGAAATATAATCGTGAACGTGACGTTAAATAATTTTGTGTCACCTGTCTGTATGCACTTCTGTATCGCTGTGTTAAATGTTGCACTCAGGGCAGTGGCGTAATGATACTCAATCCGTTCTCTCCCGATATTGCTGGATTATTCACTCACGAACGCCGTTTCAGGGCTAATCCTTGCTCCTTCATCAGGTGAATGTCACTGAACTTCATTCACAACGACAGTAAACCCAATAAAGGTGACCACTGTTGTACAATTATCATCCATTAAGCTCGCCCCCACAGAATTCGTGTTCCCGTGAAGCAGAGAAGGAACTGTGGTATGTTTCACTAAACCGATGACAGGAAACCACATTTCGTCACCTGATCATTTCATTGTCAAATGACAGCTCTGTCTTAATGTGTGTACCGTGTGTGTCATCCCAAGCATTTCAACCTGAATGGTGTTAGTCATTTATACAACCATTCCCTTAGAAATACTTGTCGCTTTGTTTGTTGCCCCCCCCCCCCCCCACTTCTCTCACGTTGTTACATTGTTCACATACAAGAAAATTTTCCCCGAATCAGAAAATATTGTTAACACAGTCTTAACTCACCTTGTTGAAAAACTACCATTTTGGAAAAGTTATTTCTGACCATTGCTGATATTTATTTAAAATGAGTGAATGATTTTAGCTTTACGCCGCTTTAGCAATATGCCAGCAATATGCCAGCAATATCACGGCAGGAGAAACCAGAAATGGGCTTCACACATTGTACCCATGTGTGGATTCGAACCCGGGTCTTCCGTGTGATGAGCGAACGCTTAAACCAAATACCTCATCGCCCCTCTTTTATGACAGACTTGATGAAAGTTGATACATGTGTATTCAGTAGTGAGGCTAAACAAATATGTTATTTATTTACATTATTTATTCATGTTATTTAAAATTTGGCTTTTATTTGACAATTGCAATTTTCTCAGAATGCAGTTCCACTTCTGACAAAACTGTGGAACGATGGATCTCAAGCTTCAAATGCTAATTCAAACCGGTGAGAACCCCATCTTTATTCAAGACGTTCGAATATATTTTCGAGTTTGTACATGACCGCCACGGCAGACATCTTAGAAAATCGTTTGAACTTTAGTGTTTTCTTTGGAAATATTCACAATGTATGGTATTGGAGCATTTTATCTCCTTAGAAAATATTAACAGCTCAGGATTTGAAACTGAATTACTATCGTCGTTGGATATGTTTAAAATCTAACGCTATATGGCTGAGGTACAGTAGATGCGACATTAAATATTAACTCAATCTGTAATAATATAATTGTCATGAATATCAAACTCATTAGGGTAAAAGGTCTGAGTTCTTCAAAGCTCCACTTTCAACATATGACACATATGGCATGGTGCTCTGCAAATATTCCAAATGAACAAAGACACTAGTTAGTTGTTGACACACAGTTCACACAAGGGTTTACACCAATCCTGCATTTCATATAAAAATACAATCATGTATATAGATTAAATTCACATGCACAATCTACAGAGTAGTTTCACAGATGCAAATGACTGTAGAATGTAATATTTGATGATTAAAAGTTGTGGCCTAATAGTGTCATTGTGAATAGATCTTTGTTCTTGTGAACCATTGGTCAATATGGAGACTATTTAATGGTCGCCTTATACGACCGGAAATCTGTTGACTGACGCGTTGTGTTCCAGATCCGTATGAAGTCAGGTGCCAGATTTATCCAAATAATATTTGTTTGTTTGTTTGTTGTTTAACGCCCCATGCAGCAAATGGCGGCTATGTGAAGGTGGTCTGTAAATAATCGAGTCGGAACCAGATATGAACCATCGGTCTAGACAGTAGGGATACGATGACATGTATTACATATGTCAGCGAGTTTGATCTACACACACACACACACACACATCTACACACACACACACATCTACACACACACACATTTTATATATACGTTGTACAACAGTATGTTTCAACAGTTATATATTGTTCCTGTATATTCAAATCTTTGAAGGGCATCTAGAAGTGGAATGCATAGGAAAAGCAAGATTTTATGGATGTCAACTTCTTTGTTGTGAATAACACGACGTTTCGGAGTGTATGCTTGCTCCTTCATCAGGTGAATGGTAGGGAGTATAAGGGGGACACACACACACACACACACACACACACACACACACACACACACACACACACACACACACACACACACACACACACACACACACACACACACACACACACACACACATGGCCACACACACATTTCAACAACATGATTGTTCCCCGGTTAACCGTTTCGTTTCAACTTGGAAATCATCACGTAACAGAAATCGGGAGCTCGTCTGGGATCGACATTTAGTATGTTACAAAATTATTTTTCAGCATTTTTTTTATTAGAATTGTTTTGTTAAATATTGTGTGAAAGCACTTTGTTGTTCAGTGAAGAAAGGTTTCTTAGTCATCCTTCTACTTGACAAGTCTCTCTTTAAAAATGTGTGAACTGTTCAAATTGGCCAAATATTACAAACTTAACGTCAAATGTTGTATGCTTAACGTCGATGTCAAGATATATTTACATTCCTGGTCACATTTTGATCACTTTCCTGGTTGAGATAGAAACTTTGATTAATGACGAGTTGGCATTGATTGAGGAGAAGACGCTTCGTTTGTCTCTGATGAAATTGAAATGCGAAAGAGAAAATGACTTTGGAACACAAAATTCAGATGAAGCATTTGGAAGATGAAACAGAAACAAAGTTGAAACAACTTGATCTCTCTAACACAATATCTCAACAGGTATTGTTACATATTTGCAGGCAGATTAGACGTGTTCCGCCTTTTCAGATGTCGAAAAATATTTCTTTTATTTTGAAAAGGTGCATTACAAATTGAAATGGCCCGAAAATCAGTAGAATATGTTGTTGTAGCATATGTTGAGTGTTAAATTGGGAATTAACATTTATGGGCGATGTATGTCCTTGGTGTGTACAACGAAATTCTATTGACACGGGTGAACTGTGGAGTTTAAATATATCTGAAATAATAACCATCTGCATTCACGAATCAGGTGAATGCATTACGATTCTTAACAACGACCATTGTATGGCAGGAATATAAGGTCAAGGTTCCAAAAATACCCTGTAGTACCTTCTAGCACTCCAGCCAGCAATAAAGGCAGAGGTGGTGATATTCAACTCACTGCACAATGGCGAAGGTTCCAAAAATAGCCTGGGCTGAGTATCCAGGCTAAGAGTGATCTTCACACAATTGCTGGTCTGATTGTAACTTGAGATGTAATTTGAGATGCGAGACAAGAGGAAGGTCACCTTATATACAACCGAAAAAGAACTCCAGAAGATTATTAAACTTAATGGGTTGGCATTTAATGGAACGACCCATGGGGCTGTAGTACCCTGTATAACATTACCTTCCTGCACTCGACAACAATGTATTACACCCGACGACAATATTGTTACCCGATGAATACCAAACAGAGGTCATTGCAGATATTGTTGTTTTATTTTGTTTTTACGCTAAGAACTGTTCCAGCTATATGACGGCGGTCTGTAAATAATCGAGTCTGGACCAGACAATCCAATGATCAACATCATGAGTGTCGATCAACGCAATTGTGATGCGATGTCATGCGTCAACCAAGTCAGCGAGCATCACCACTCGATCCGGTTAGTCGCCTGTTACGACGAGTGTGGGAAGTCGCGGTGGCTGACTTTGTGTGCTGGCGATAAGGTGCCTGACTCTGAGGGTGTGGGTTCGAATCACGGATGGGACTCAACCCAACCCAACAAAGTACTTGATTCTCGTACTTTACTGAGAAAGTGTAATCCCAAATATAACATATGTTACATTTGACCACTTTCTCAATGGGATTGTGTATTCATGGGGATAGCTGAAGGACAAGTATAACCCCGATCTTCACGGGTTTGCCGATATTGATGAAAGCGTCAAAATAATAGGCTAGCGAAAGATACCGAAAACACAGAAAAATAAATGATTTATTTGAAATGTACGTTTAAACAAAAAAGTAAAATATGACCGGTTGTTTTTATGATTTCATTACTAGACCTCAGGCAATGACGAATAACAAATTTGTTCTGTTTTATGTTTGCACAAACATATCCAAGTATATTCTATTTTGCCCTAAAGCATATCTTTGAGGAAGTGAACAGCAAAGTGTTGTTTTCATTCAATTCATGAAAGTTTACTTTACACAGTCGTTTAAGCAAATGAAAGCAGTTCTCATCAAATAATGAAAAGTAGGTCCCACCGCCAGGCTGTGAAGGAACGACGGCCCCCGCCACCGGCGGCGTGTACGTGTACGCCGACATTGATTTGTGATGGAAAGGTCAACATCGGGAGTTGTCTTCATTTGAAAAAGGCGTAAGAAATGTTTGGAAGATTTGCTGGGTTTATCCTGTATTTGCCTCAGATTAAAGACCAAGCATTTACCGCAGATTAAAGATTTGGTATTCTCCGCAGATTAAAAGATAGTGAGGGGAAAGAGCAACGGCACTTCCCAAGAACAAGCACAATGAATGCCAGAAACTAAATTTCTTCATTGTTGCAGCTGGACATTATCGGTCACAAATTGGCAGTTTTCAGACCAACTGTCTGTGATCTGATTACAACCATGCCTTGATCGAAGATCATATTCACGCATTGATCAAATCGCGCTAACACCACATGCACCACGTATTTGCGAGCTGGTTTAAACACAGCTCGAATATAGATACACGAAGTAAACTATTCTCATATATAGCATATTTGTATTAGTATATTTTTTATTTAACTTATTACTTGTGATTTTAAAATTAAAATTGTATTTTCAATATTAACCAAAATCCATTCTGATTTTTCTTTAATGTAATTTATGAAGCTTGGTTTGTTTACTGCATATGCTCTTTCCTATTCAAAGTTCGTGTGCTTATGTTGTGATTGATATTTCTCATGTAATGGCTAATAGTTCTAATACCAATCTGATCTATAAACTTGGCATCATGATCTGATAAATATGCACATTTTATGAGATCGCCAAGCATGAACCTCTACACGTTCCCCACATCAATGACTTCCTTCATCAACAGAGTGAGTGAGTGAGTGAATTATGATTTAAAGTCACATCGGCAATATTTCAGCCATATCGTGACTAAAACTAGTTCTAAATTCATAATACATACATACAATATATAAAACCGTGTCAACGAAGGACAGTCAAACCACTAGATTATCACAGATTGAGTTAAAACAACCTAGCATATATTTTTAAAAGTAGAAAATTATTTTTGGACAATACAATGTATAAATGGGCTATATATCGCCAACAACTGACAAAACAGTGAGTGAGTGAGTTTAGTTTTACGCCGCTTTTTACAGTATTCCAGCAATATCACGGCGGGGGGACACCTGAAATGGGCTTCACACATTGTACCCATGTAGGGAATCGAACCCGGGTCTTCGGCGTGACCACCAAACGCTTTAACCACTAGGCTACCCACTGACCCTTCATGAGAACGGGTCTAGGGCACAAGCCAGCCGGACAAATGCAACCCGGACAAATGCCACCTAGGACAAATGCCACCCACATAAGAAACAACAACACCAACATAATATCATGTTTCTCATGTGTATTTGCATGATAATTCATTTTCATTTACACTCAAAAGAACAAAATAACATTCATTTTGATTTCACTATCATTTGGTTTTCATTTTTCTTTTTCAATATTAACAATAGACACTAGATTTATTTATATCCAACATTGGCACTAGTCGCACTATCTAGTACTAAATACGTTATAAAATACTTTATAAAAGATGCTGTATGTTTCAAACATGAGCACAAGCAATATTCGATCTGGAACAGGCGCCATCCCGGCAATGACTCCATCTGAGATGTTGATAGCAGCTACTGTCAGGCTGGGCCGATTCCTCCCATGTATATAATCCGACACTCTGAACCTACAAAAATATTGGAAATAGTAAAATATAGTAACATGGTAAAAATATATAAGTAAAGTATAGATGTTATAGATACATAAAGTCAACATTACCATGAAATTCAAATTTTACATCAAAATTGACTTCAGTATATCATCCCAGTTCACTGCAATACAATTTCACAAATCTGATGTTATGAGCTACAATCCTCGGGAATTCTCTTTGGTGCCTGTTTCTGAAATCTGCAGCAATGGCCTGGAGACGCTGCTGGCAATCCCGATATTGCTCCTGTGACTTATGATTTTCTGCCCGGCAAACATCTGGGTAATCACCTGGTCGGTCGGAGCTTGCTTCCTCCTCAACATATTCAAGAAACGCCAGATGCTGGGATGAAAACCTGCCACGCTTGTGAGTAATCTCCTGTGCCACCCTTCCAGGTTGTTGTTCGTCCTTGGTGGGTTGTCCAAAGTCCTCTGGTGCTGGTTCCAGCTTGATACCGAGAGCATTGATGGTCGTCGTCCTCGGTTGTGTTGGCGGCCGATGTAACTGTCCTCAGAGTAGTCCAGGTTCTCGAAGACATCGACCACCTGGTCTTCAGGGATGAACGCCAGGGCTGGTATCATCCCGGAGTGCATCTGCAGCTTGGGCGATGTTTCATATTCTGCCTGAAGTCCTGCACTCTGGATCCGCCAGTAGATGTTTTGACTGAGGTGGTAAAAACATCCCTTCACCTCGATTCCCTGAAATTCAGAGGCAACGGCATTCAATATGGCTTTCTTAAAGACTAGCATCAGCGTGCCTGGGGCACAGTCTGGGGCAAGTTCCTTGGCGAACACTTCCCTGTATGTCGTCTCCTGTTTGTTGGGCATGAGAGCATACACGCATTGCTGGTCAAGCAATGGATGGTGAAAAGCTGGAAATAGAGCCATGGGACTATCTTGAATGCTACATCAGCAAACCAGTGCTGGGAACGTGCGAGCAGGTCGAGATTCCATGTCGTCGAAAAGATGAGGATGCGGTTTGGGTTGTCTACGCCGCCATCGTCCTGAAGAAACTGCTCACCAGCTCCTGTTGTCTTATACCTCTCATGTATCAGCATTGCTCCTGGACTCTCTTGCTCGGGTAGTGCACCGTCATACCTTCGTCTCCGGCGTCGCACGTTCCGGCGTAGATCTGGAACAGGCAACATAGTTTTAATACCAAAAGTTTAATTAATAGTTAATTCAGTTTAGCATCAATTTAAGCTATATTACTTCAATAGCATACCTCTGATTGCACCTGGTCTGGGGCATGTGTGTGTTCGTGTAGGATGCCAACACACATCCAATACCTTCATCGACACCTTACACTCTCCCTTACTCTCTCCTTGGACTATCGACTAATATTCACGATATGTTAGATAGGCGTTTCCTAATGTTTGTCTAAACGGGATTCGGTCCTATAAGATACAGGGTGGTATCATACCTTGCCTTTATACATGTTCATCTTTCCAACGCTATTTAGCGAATGAACTGACGTCTTAAACATGCATTGTGTTAAATGCGACATTTTGTCATAATGCGATCATTGCCCTCGTGTTTTCTTGCGGTAAATATCTAATATTAGGAATAGCGAAACGTTCGCGCAATATATCATGTTGACCATTGGGAATCACAAGAGGTCCAAGATCGCTGTATCAGTTGTTTTCTGTTTCAGTGTACTGTGTATCTATTGTGAGTGTACTGTGTGTTTATTGTGTTAACTATTATTGTTCTGTGTGTGTAATATGCGTATACTGTCTGCTCTGAGCACAGTGTGCTAACACTTTTTATTACTCGCCCGTGGAAGATACTTCAGTGTAATATTTGTACACTAGTATGACGTCATAACTGTTTACAGTTATGACGTCACAATGCTAATACAATGGTATGACTCGCGGAAAGTCGTCACACTTTAGGCAGTTTCTCTCAGTTTATGTTGGAGAGTAATAAACAGAATACTAAACTTGCTTCCGTGAAATGCCATTTTCATAAAACTCGTGAAAGATTTTGATACCAAATCATTAACTCGTTTATCAAAAATAGTATTATACGGAAGGGCGTTTAGTATCCTCTATGAGTATTCGTACTGTGTATACTGTGAACGTACTGGATGTATACTTGAAAATTAGGAACAGTAGAGAAGAGTTTTCGATATGTGGAGATATTTGAATGAGATCTCCATCTGTAGATAATCATTTACAAATCATGATCAATCATCTAATTAAGCATTTAGTTTACAGACTAGCGATACTGACTGAACACAAGACATCTTACAAAAAACTCATCCAGTTACATTAACTAAAGACGAGCACAAACTATCAGTCTCTTTCAGGTCCAAGCAAAAAACCACATGTCTTTTGGTGCAGCAAAGAATACAAAAGCACTTGTTTTGAAAACAATGTAACTGACGTTGACAAAGATCGCTCAATTATGTGCTCTGTTGACCAAGTATTTAATGGAAACATTTCATCCCCGCCGCATATCAACCCACATAACATGCCTGAACCCTGGCTTAACTCCATGCAGCGGTAGGGGCATTCAAACACGTGTTATAATGCTTGGAACGATTGAAAAACATGCGTGCATGTTTACCTTCCGAGCTTTTTGTATTGGTTAGCTAAGCAAGACATTTAGACAGATGAACAAGTTATTTTGGAGGGGAGACACAAACGGAGGTTGGTTTTGAAGCACATGCTACACATTGCTGCTGATGCCACGAGCGCTGGGGGATGACTTTGGGGCAAACGGTGCAGACTGTTTTGGAAGATTGAAATATGGGAAGATATGTGGTTACTGTCAGTCTTTATTTCCCAACGTTACATGGATTGTCGGTCATTTCTGGGTTTGTGGACAAAACAATAGCGGATGAGGTTTGGGCTGGTATCTTACTAAAATTGTTTTACTCCGTGTTCTAGATCGGAGACACATGGAGTAGTTAGAAAAAGATAGCTTTTAAGTTTATAAGTCATAAATAAACAATATTCCATTGTATACCTATTAAACGTTATGATAATGGGCCATATGAAATGCACAAAATTATATATTATTAAGCATCTCAAAGCAATGCATGTATAATTGACAGTGTCATTATTTTGGTATTATTATCAATATTGATATTACTAAGTCTACAGTGACTCAACCCATAGCCATTCAATATAGAGTGGACAGAAGCACGTTTATCTACAAGGACCAGAACCCCAGAAGTCAAGCTTGCCAAACATGACAACCATCCACCTACTCTCCGTAGTATCTACATACCCGTAAAGATCCGGTTATATTAGGTCTTATCGTAAGAGGCGACTAACGGGATCGGGTGGTCAGGCTCGCTGACTTGGTTGACACATATCATCGTATCCCGATTGCGTTGATCGATGCTCATGATGTCAATCACTGGATTTTGATCTGGTCCAGACTCGATTATTTACAGACCGCCGCCATATAGCTGGAATATTGCTGAGTGCGGCGTTAACAACAAACAAACAAACAAACAAACAAACAAAAGGACATGTCGAGTAAATGGAGTTCAAGTTATTTAAATATTATTGAACAAAATCCCGCACTGATTAAAACCACAAAGAAGAAATCGAAAGAATTCCATTTGAATGTTTCCCAAATAAACAAATATGCCGACTACATGAATCTTTTGAATTGTTCTTCCTACTTAACCTCTGTGTGTTTGGATTGACATTGGCCTTGTAAACAAACCTTACGTTAAGTGTATAAGCAGACGATTCGAAGTGTTTCACTTGTGTTAATTAACAGACAGGGATTTTTTGTATACTTAAAAAATCGCTGGAAAAGAAAGCATACACCCAGAAAAGGTTGTGCAATTAGTTCCAAAATCAGCTTGGTTATTTTCAACCCAGGATCTAGTGAAGTTGTTTAGCATAGAACAACACTTATCAAAGTATACGTCAGGCATTTTTCGGATGACCATTATACCAATTTTACATAAGATGGTAGTTTCGGGCTTTGGGTCGGTTTAGTAACACTGTAAGAAAGATTAGAACCATGAGAGAAAGACGTTTTTACAACACTCACCCAACACCCAAACACCAAAACTCAAACCCACTCAACCCTAACACTCAAACCCATTCAGTTCTATTTCCTCAGTCAATTGCCGCAAACTTGTCTTTATAGCTCATTATCCCTAAAATTCTCTTTTTTGTCCATCTAACCAATCTTTTGGCATTAGAAATACTATGTAACCACGGGGCTGCACTGCTAGTCATTCAAGTATAGGTTTGGGAGAGTCCATTGGTAAAAAACACATTGTTCTATCACTGAACCAAGAATGTTTGAAACTGAACATTCTGGAAGTGTCTGCGATACGGCGTGACAAACATATACACTTCATCTCCAAATGGGATCCTTATTTTCTACACCTCACTTTGGCAATAACATTAACTGCCGCGAAAACGAACGGGTTTACCCAATATGCAAAGTTTGACGTTACCACAATGTTACTAAGCTGATGACAACCGATGGATGGATGGGACATTTGGACAACAACTTGTTTCTATCAACAGGAGCAATGTTGTGATGTAAGCTCTAACACCGATATTCAGCAAGTGATGATCCTACCACGAAACGTTGTTAATATTTTATAAACAAGTTGTCCATATATCTTGTCCTTAACTAGAGCTCCAATAATAAACGTCCAAAAGGCAACTAGATAATGGTATAGAACATATTACCATCGAAAAAAACTTGTTCGTTTCATATTGCAACCTTCAATTATGGATGTACTTTTTTCAAAATGTCTTTTGCCAGGGCGTGTGGCGACTTTATATTATATTTAGTTAACTTCGGAGAATTATTTATCAAAGGCGATTCATTGTACATGTATGTTGATCAGCAGCTGAGTGAGATTCGGTAAACACAACTAGCGATATTTATCTTCATATAATTAATCATAACTTCAGAATACCCGAAGCAAAAACATTAAAATTATTCCTACAACAACACAACGTCTGTCAACTGGTTTTGAAGTAACCTGAGTTACAACCACGCACACAGCCATAACAAATCACACAAACAGGTCTCGAACAAACCCAAACTTTCGGAATGTGGGTTGAAAGGTAATATATATGGACACTTGCTCACGCAAATATTTTCCTGCTGAATGCTTCCCCCCGACCGTCTACATGCCGCATTTGATGATGTTCGTACGGCCACTGACCAATATTGTCAGAACGATCTGCGCGGTGTGAAACAAAATTTGCACAGATTACAAAAGATTTTCTTGCGTGGTGTTTTGTTTGGGCATATGTTAGATCAGAAACCACATCTTGTTTGAATTGCCACGCATCTGGAATTGGCCAGCTTTAGGGGCGTGACACAATATTGGCCAGCACTCGCTTGCAATATGAAAAAGACCAAAGTGCAAAGTTTTATTCACAAAAGAACCTCGGCTGTCAGTTTTCGGCTGTTTGGCGTGAGGAAGGCGTGGTATTAGGCAGTAGTATGGTGTATCACGTCTCCACGAAAGACAAAAAAAAATTTCCGCGAAAATATTATTGTTACCTTGGTCCTATACACAATGCACAGAAATGACTTAATTGACAGAACTGCATCAGCTGTTATGTATCTTTACTGACAAAATATTTAACAAATATATTTTCAGAAACCATAATAAATAAAATTTTATAATAATCTGTACACTATGTTCTTTATATAAATTGGGCGGTGAAGTTAAAATGCTTTGGATTGCGTACTATAGAGGAGTTGGTAACATCTGAGGGAATGGGTATAGTCGGTGTACGGACAATCCCCATCAGGACAATTCCCCACTAGGACAATTCCCCACTAGGACAATTCCCCATACCTGTTTTGTAACCACTAGGGCTCATATTGGCAAAGCCAAACCAGAAAAATTTGGCCAGGAAGGTTAACTTTGGCTTAGGTATATCGATGACCTGAAAATATCAAATTGCCAATTTCCTTTAACTGCTTTACCTACCTGAATAAAAATACAGATATTCTCACCTGTTTTATGTTCAATTCAGTGTATATCAACGATTCACAGTGACAAAACACTCCCCTGAAAA